GTCTGTGTATCTAATTTTTATTTCTATCAACATTTAAGCAGCCAGATTATAGCAATTTATTTGAAAATGCACTGTATGGTTAGGGCAGTATCGTATTTTGAGCAACCAAGTGCTGACAACCGAAAATAAGGTTGAAATCATAAAGATACTAAAATAACACTCCGTAGAGGGAATACTTTTAAATCTTTTGAGCACGTTGTTTACTGATTGTTCCGTGTTATTTTTTTCTGGATGGGTGCTCAGAACTTTTTCAGCCATGCTGCTTATTATATCATGGGATAGCAGAAGCCTAAAATTACATTTGATATTCTTAGTTCCAACTCGGCACGATTTCTCAGCCGAGCAGATAATTGGCTGAGATCTGGCCTACAACACTGGCTGAATCATAAACCCTGGGCTTGTCACATGTCCTAGCCATTCATATTTCTTCCAGGACTCCCGGAGGCTCTCAACACTGCACATATGCAAGTTACTTCTAACACTTCCAATAGGCTCAAAAAATTGCATGGACAATCCGTCCATGAAAATGGCACAGTTGTCTCTCTGCTGGGCAATGTCTTCTGGGGAGTAGAGCAGACTGCAATATAAAACTAAAGAATCTGAAACTGAGAGCTGGGAGTCTAAAGGCAATACTCCTTGGATGTTTGAACCTTGTGAAGATTTTGACTTTCTCTTTCTTATTGCCATTGCTCATTTCTGAAAGGGCCAACATGTGAAAACATCACAGAGTCTTGCTTCAGATCTGTAACATTTCAAAGAAACAGTGTTTTCTATTCTGAAAACTTTTGCTCTAAACAGAGAATGACAAAAAGAGAGGAAAAAAAAAAACAACTTTAAGGACTGTAGTGGAAAGGAGCTTCTTTGTAGTATTTGTATGGCACTGAGCCAGCAGCTTCAAAAAGACGGCCCTGCGAAGTCCAGTCTTGGTACTGTGAGCTGTGTGTGTGCTCCACATCTCTGCTTGGGACCTACGAACCTGAACTTCATCTACAAGTTCCAGAGATGTGTTAGGGGAAGTTCTACTAAAAGGTCCATAGCTAGCTAAGACCAAACAGTGTGTTTGATCCTAACAATAATGACAGAAGAAATAGATCCCATTTGCTATAGAATCATGTATGGCATTCCAATAGAGGTGGGATACATACTAATTATAAGTAATGACTTCTTTATTTGGGCATGCCTTAAAAAAAAAAAAAAGAAATTGGTCTAGTACTTTGAAAAAAACAAAACAAAACAAAACAAAAAACCTCTCATCGGAAGATCACTTCCCTTTCTTGTCCCCACATTGAGAACCTAGATAAGAGATGGCTTTAGGGACACAGTGGGGCTTTGATTGCAGGGACTGAGACTTGGATTGGAATTCTGGATTACTGGCCACGACATCCAGGGGCAAGAATTAGAAGTGAATATTATCTATCTGTGGTTGTTGGGAGGATTAAATGAGGCGAGACCTATGAAAGTGCCAAGCACAATGTTGGACTCCATGCATGTTCGCATCTTTGTCTTCAATATACTCAGATGAATTGTCATGTACCTCTGCTTTCCCTTCATTGGATGCATAGGATCTAGACTTAAGAGATCTATAAAAAGTGAATTCATTTCATACGTTAGTTTTGTTCTTTAAGGTCAGGATTGAAGGTCATCCTTTTCCTATAAGCACACGTTTGTGGGACTCTGCTCTTTCCACGAAATATTCTATTTCATTTAATAATGTGATATTTCAAAGGATAACGTTGCCTTATGAACCTCAGACTTTTATTTAGTTCTGTTGCATAATGATAATCTATAAAAATGAAGCTTACTTGATTTCAGTGGAGGAATACATTTTCCCTAAGTTACTTTCATATAATTAAAAAAAAAAGCATTTGAAAATTTATTTCAAGTTAAAGTAAGGTCTGCCACATAAAAACCCAGGCTTCATCTGTCAGCCCCCTTTGGTACAAATGAGAAGTCATTCTTATGAGAGACAGAGTCTCTGGGGGCTATCGGTGACTCAGTGATTTTGCCTGCTCTAGAATCACAGCTTCTGCCCCACCATCTGGGGCAACTGGCTCTTCTTACATTGTTCTCCACTCTCTCTAAGCCCTTACCATGCTGCAGGCTCTTCACTGAGGTCTTAGTTTGCTGTGTTTGCTGCCCATAAGGATATGGAGGGGAAAATCCTTTTAGATTATTGACATCGTTGACCCAGGAAAACATCCACCCTAGGATTTTTCCTGGTTCTATTTTCAGATGATCCCATTGTTCTTGCACAGGCTTCCAACTCCTAACAGTTCAGTCCAAATGATAATTATTATGGTTAGGCCAAAAAGACATAGGAGATTAATTTGCAAACATCACACCTAGTGCGGGATTGATGCATTGTACCTGAGTTTCCTTTTAAGTGTGCTACTTGTTTATTTTTTCCATCAAAATCTCTTTGTTTCCCAGAATAAGCACACAACCTGCAAATTATTAATACTACATCAATTTTAACAAGTGAATATTCACAACTTACAGTAATTAACATCTCAAATTATCTTTGGTGGAAGCATTCATGCTTCCCCTTTGGGAAAGAACAGCTTTTAAAAATGTTTGATAATTAGTAAAAAGTAACCATATCTTCAAAATCATTGAATTACTCAATTTAATCCATAAGCTCTTTTATATTCATATAAATGGATTGGCAGTCAGGTGCCTTTAAAGTTTCTTTGAGGGTGTGTTAAGTAGGTAAAAAAAAGTCTCATATAGTTTAATACTTTCTTCTGAAAATATGAAAAAGAGCAATTCAATAAAAATGCAAGTTTGGTTTGAAAAATGTTAAGAAAAAAATATATTCACTCATTTTCAATAGGAAATAAGTTGAAATTTTCCCCAAATACACTCAAACAACATGGGGAAAGCAATCTCCCCCAAATAAGGAAACAGTTACACTGGAAAGTATACCAAAATGTGAAAATGAAAATGATTCTATGGTTCTTTTATATTTTCATTATATCCATGATGTCACCTGCCAGCAAGCAGACTGGTTGAATTCCCCACTGGATGGGCAGACCCTACTTCTCCTTCTTCTCCAACTCCCATATGAGAGCAAGAAGGGTAGATTACTTGACCTCTCTCTGACTTTGGAGTGACCGCCAAGTCACAAGTACCCAGTGAAAATCTTGGGTAAAGAAGATTCTCTGAAAGGCTTGAAGTGGGGGCGTAAAAACATTTTCAATGACTTGAGGGAAGTACAGCTGTCATAGAAGGCTTTCCACTGCTTTCGAGGTGAAATCAAGACTCTGGAACCAAGGCAGATACTGATACTGCTGATTCTCAGACCCCTTCACTGTTTTAGCCCTTTCTTACCACCTAGGAGCCATGGCACATCTTCATTTCCTAGAAAAACCTCATGCTTTTGCCAACCTGAGGCATTTCCTGCATTTTCCCTTGCATTTCCTGGTCTTCCTGTTTCAAATGTCCTTTCCCTCCATTTTTGCTTGGCCAACTCTACCTCATGCTTTTGAGCTCAGCTACTTAACTGTCTCCTCACCACCCAAAAAATTAAGATTTCCCTTGTTCTATCTTCAAGCTCTCTGTTCTTTTCCTTCCTAGGGCTAATGCAACGTGAAATTATTTGTAAACTTCTTTATTGGCTTTCTGTTCTCTACCAGACTGCATGTTCCTTATAGGCAGGATCACGTATCTGTGTTGTTCACAAGTGTGTAGCTAGAATTCGAGGAGTACACTGTAGGTGCTCCATAAATACATGCCAATGAATGGATGAAGGCAAAAAATCTTTCAAATCTATAAACTAAAAGATCAGATCACGTTTGTAGGAGATTAACAATCATAACTGCCACTGATCATAGTCCCCAACTTTTCTTTTATTCTTTAGAGTAATTTAGTTTGGTTAACATTATTTCAGGCAGTAAATCAGAAAAAAGCCTCAATTTAAGAAAGAAAAAGCTCACTAAAAGAAGTTTAGGTTTATAAATCCGTGACAAAAGTAAATTATGTTTATTGATAGTTCGTAGTTCTGTAATTTAGGAAAATCTGTATTTAGAAAGTCAGAGAATATTTTAAATGAAAGTAATTACAGATTATAAAAAACAGTGAGAACTTGTTCAATATTTTTCCATTTTTAACACTAAAATAATTGCTAAAAGTGACAATAAATGGAAAAAAATAAATGAATAAAATGGCATAGTATTAAAATTTTGATTTTAGTAGATGAAAACTAAATTATATTGAAACAACACTTCAGCGATAGCTCTTGTCTGCCTTCTGCAACTCAAACAATATACAAAAGTTAACTGACTTAAGTCAGAAAACCAATAATAGTCTCTTTTTAAAGAGTGACTTTCAGCTCAGATTCTGAATGAATATTCTTCAAAGGCATCCCTCTGTTTTATTAACGAGAACTGAAAAGCTGACATAGCATTCTATGTTGACTAAATGCATAAATACATTCATGGACCATAATAGGTCCCAGCAGGGAAGAAGCCATGATCTCAGCTTCCAGTTCACTGCTTTCAATATCAGAGTCATTCACTGACTTCTTCATTTATTCATTAATATTTATTGAGGGTTTGCTGTAGGCCAGGCCCTAGGGAAGCCCTTGGCAGCACAAGAGTGAGCAGAACAGAGACAATTCCTGACAACATTTCCTTATGATTTCATCAATAAGTTTATTTTTGTTCAGTCACTTATAAGACAGGATTGTATCTTCCGTGTCCAAACATGTTATGTGAATGAAGTGAACTGGTTGTCTGTAGCTATTCTAGCAATTTTAAACACAAAGTTATCTTCTCGATCGAGCCGATTGTTTTTAATTTACTATATTCCTCCTACTTCTGATTTTGTATAGATAAATGATTTCACATTTATGTAAAGTCTTTTCTTCTTCCGGGCTGTTTGAAACAGACAGCTCTCAAGCTGGGTCACATACTAACCCACACCGAAGTCCAGTGCTTATGGACTGATGCTAATTTACCCTTTATCAGAAGACAAACCTCACAAAGTCCACTGGGTCTTACCTTCTTCCACTGTGATGGTCTGTTCTGAGGCTGGTGATGGAGGTGGAGAAGGAGGCAGATTAGCTGTCTCTTCAGCTGCTAAAGATTGAACAGTGGAAAAATGAGATACGATTAATCCTGTTAGGTCATTAAATGTAGAACAGCTCTGCCATCTGTAGAAAGGCCGCTCTATGAAATTTAGGACAAGATTCACTAGTACGCTGCATCTGACTTATTTTCTGTCCGATTACCTGATTCATATAGTTTAAAAAAAACTAGAAGGAAAGAAAAGCATTCACTATTTAAGAAAAAATCGTTTTGCTTTCCCTATAAAAACAGATTAAAGATGCCTGCTAAAGTTCTATCATTAATCCCATTAATTGTGTCTGCTTGTTCAATTAATAAAATATGTTATTCTAGCCCTAATCTATTATAGTCAAACACACAGGCAAGTACTGTAGTTCAGATTAGCTTGACTGACTAAAAAAATATCAGAACTCTATATTATTCAACTTCTTAATCTGGAAACAAATGTAAACTTCATCATTCACAGTATTACAGGTGATGTATTTATTTTTAAAGATTTTATTTATTTATCTGAGAGAGAGAGAGTGAGAAAGCAGGATCAGGGTAAGGGGCAGAGAAAGAAGTAGACCCCCGCTGAGCAGGGAGCCCGATGCAGGACTCAATCCCAGGACCCTGAGATCATGACCCAAGCTGAAGGCAGATGCTTAACCGACTCAGCCACCCAGGTGCCCCAGGTGATGTATTTTTTAAACAACATTGTGTCCACTGAGTCTAATGTCAAAATGCATCATCTCTATGTATCCTCAGAAAAGAAAAATGAAGCTGTCATAGCCTAAGGCAACCTTCAAACAGACAACATGTACTAGTGGGAGCTGAGTAATCTTCTGGCCTTGGCATTATACATGAAGAACCAAAGAGAAGGGTTCTAAAAGTTAATGGTTAACTCTTTTTTCTTGACCGCTCATATGAAGGTAAGGGATTGCAAAAAGGAAATATTTGTCATCAAGGCCAGCAGGAAAATCTATTTTACAGAGCATGAGATTTTCACTCTCAAAAAGCAGCTTTGGGATGACAGGTGACGTCTTAATTCCTTGACCCTGTGGGTTTCTATAGAACACATAGTAAGACTTTAAATTTAAAAAAAGGGGTGTCTTTTCTTTAAGGTATAGAAGTGAACCACAAACAGAAGGCTAATGTTTTGAATAAGGTAATTTACCCCCTGTTTAAAGAGAAAATTAAACTTTTATAATCAAACAACATTTTACTGCAAATAATGAGTATTTATTATCCTGGGAGAACAGAATTTTTATTGCTTAATATTTTTTAGTCATTTAAATTGCTTAAAGGAGTACTGACCAGAAAATCAAATATTAAGGATACATTAGGCTGTTTGAGACAAAATTGGATATGTACTTTTTTTAGACTTCAAAAACCATACATTTCTATGGATTAGTTAAATGTACTTATAAAATAGACTTACATTGAACCTAAGAGAGTTTCCTTTCTTGTCTCTGCATGTATATACACCCACATCTATCTTCTTTCTATCTGTCTATCTATCATCAGTTTAAAGGAAGGGTGGCAAGACTTTGGCTAGGAGTCTTTTCTTCAGCAGGCATCATTATATTACCTGTTTGGCCCTGGAGGGCATCTGACTTGTGACCAAGGGAGAGAGAAATGTTATCTCAGTGTCCTTAAATAAACCAAGTGAAGACCGGTACATTAAATGGGATACAAAGTCACCCATGATTCGAACAAAGACTTGACTATAGGTTTTCTGTAGCTGGTTCAGGGAGACCTAAATAAGACGTCTTGAGACAAGCATTCCCCAAAACCCATAAAGGGAAATAATCAAGACAAGCATTCCCCAAAACCCATAAAGGGAAATACTCATTTCTAATTAGAGTATTAACATGTTTTCTTTACAAATGGGTGCCATGACGTCCATATGCATTGGCTTTATTTTTATAATAAATTTCTCTAGTGGTCCAGAAATGAAAATTTAAGAGAAATTTAGGGGCAAAGTCTAACTATAAGCCTATCACCCTAAAGACTGTCCAAATCTTACAAATGAGTCTGTCAAGAAAGGTGACAATGGGTGCCAGGGCCTCCCAACAGAGGTGTTTGATGAATATTTTGCGTAAGGATCAAGTATGAGATAGGGCCTTTCTTTGACCATGAAGACTTGGTCCTGTGATCACTGCAGCAGAAACAGCTCTTGAACTGAGGTCTTTCTCATTTACCTAAAGGCAGAGCCGCAGGCTGGTCTTTCTGCTGAGCTTCTCTCTCTTGTTCACCTTTCAGGACCGCGACAGCTTCTGCTGTGACTACTTGAACTATCCTTGCAGACACCTCCTCTGTAATAAATAGTAACAAAAGAAAATAAAAGAGTGAGACAAAATGGGTAGCAAAGAGGAAAAGTAATGAAACAATATAGTTGATTAGAATTTTTTTTCTGTCTTACCCCCCAAAAATACAATAGAATTTATTAAATTGCACTAAAATACAAATACATAGATTGTAACCAGAAACAGAAAAAAAAAGAAAAAAAAAAAAGAGAGAGAGGAAAGTAAAGGGATTGGCATTCTGGGAGCTAGGCAAAATGAACACACCATGAAAGAAAAACAATTTGTATGGCAGTTTATTTTTAAAAAGCTGTTTATACAAGCAAAAACAATTAAAATTTTTACACCAGGTAAAATAAATTCAGAAAAAAAAGGATTCATTTTGGATTTAATATAAAATGTTTTGTAGTTTTCTAGAAAGTTTCCTTACAATATGTTTCTATGCCGATTTGTAGAAATACCATAATTTAAAACCTAAAGAAGATGCCTCAAAATGTGAATTTGTGATCAAACAGCATTATCCAGGATCACTGTGAACAGGAGTGATTAAGAAAGACCTAGAAAGAGAAAATTTGAATGAAATACATGGAAATGATATATCAGATGGCCTCTTTTTAAAGAGCTACTACTTTTCTAGATAGCAGACGTTTTAAAGATCTTTGAGGCCATATAATATATACTTACCTAGTCAGCGTAATCATTTCATTAAAAAGTAGGGGGAGGTTCATCATTAAAATGACCAGTCTGTTAAATGCCAGATAATTAGTTTTTGGCCTAAAATGGCACCTAATAGAGCATATCCCAATGCTAATTTTATATAACCAAGTCAAAAAATATTCAAGAAATAATGTTCCATATATCATCAACAAAAAATGAAAGAAGACTTTTTGAAGGGTGCCTGGGTGGCTCAGTTGGTTAAGTGTTCAACTCTTGATTTTGGCTCATGTCATGATCTCAGGGTTGTGAGATCGAGGCCCACATCCATCTCAGTGCTGGGCATGGAACCTATTTAAGATTCTCTCTCTCCCTCTGATCTTACCCTCACCCTGTCTGTAAAAAAAAGGAAAAAAAAAAAAGAGAGAGAGACTTTTGAGATTAAAAATACATTCTAGATTAGAAATAAATTCTCCAGGGGTGCCTGGGTTAAAGCCTCTGACTTCTGCTTAGGTCATGATCCCTGGGATCGAGCCCTACATCAGGCTCTCTGCTTGGCGGGGAGCCTGCTTCCCCCTCTCTCTTTGCCTGCCTCTCTGCCTACTTGTGATCTCTGTCTGTCAAGTAAATAAATAAAATCTTGAAAAAAAAAAATTCTCCAGAATTTAACTTTTCATTATCTTTATTTACAAACATCTATCATACTAGCAAATCATTCCACTTACAGCCCTTATAGAAACAAATTGTACTAGACAAGGAGGAAAGGGGTAATGGGATTCATTCTCATAATTTTAGCCAAGATTTGAGAATACTTCATTGAACTTCCTTATGATCAGAATTTACACATTTATAAGCAGGTTGGCAGGAGTTGGGCGGGGGGTGGGGGGGTCGTGGAATCCTGTTTTTACCTGGTTCATTTAGATTCTGCCTCTTTGGTAAACCTTCCTCACCCCACCCAGGACGACAGAGAGAATAGTGCTTAAGAACTAGCTCTTGGGATGAGCAATCCACTTGAATCAGATTTATCTGAATTTTAAAAGCTAGATTACTTGATTGGGTATATTTGCCATTATATGTCTAACTTCTGATTTTTTTAATAGCCACATGACACTATAACCTATGGACAGTCTTTTTTTTTTTTTTTTTTAAATACGTATGGTCTTAAGGGATACATTGTAAACACCCTTATTTAGAGTGAGTAGCAGTCATAGCAATAGAAGCAGTATTTTTAAAAGATTATGGTGCTCACCATGCGCCTAACGCTCTGTTATTTGCCCTCGTTATTTCAATGAATGATTTACTGTTATTACTCTCATTTTGCAGATGAGAAAACAGCGAACTAATAGGGTTAGGCCAGAGAGTCAGACATTTCTTATTATAAATATCATACTTAGAAAACCAACTTTCAATTAGGATCTTGTAAAATGCCTTAGATAGTAAAACTAAATTAAATGTGATTTAATATTTCTATTATGTTTGAAGTATAATTTTATGAAGTTGAAGACCTCATTCAAACTTTAAGTCTCTAAAGAGCAAGGACTGACAGGCTACTTAAAATCATTTCCGAAAAAAAGCTAATTTGTTTCAGATATTTATATACCAAGTCCTTTTCACAAAACTTTTTTTCACACAACACAGTTTACACTTCCAATTTAGTTTAGACTAGGATGAATCTTTTTTAATATTGCAAAAAATGTAAATAATAATTATGATTTCAAAGTAATAAGGATATGACTTATTCTTAAAAGCTTGTTTTATCCTATGCAATTTAACTCACAGTATCACGGTTTTAGGTTATATGCAATGTATATACTAGAGTTTATGAAGAAGGCGATATTACTTTTGTATATGTTTAAGCAAAAACTTGTAAGAAAGTAATTTAATTCAATCTTGGGAATATTAACTATTTTTCCTTAGGCGAATTTAACAGACTTTAAGAAATGCCATTTTAGAATAATCAAACAAGGTGTGTGGGAGCCACATTAATGACAGATTATCTTCAATTTTTTTGGAGGAAATAATATTGCTAAAACTTCAAACAGGCAATGTTGAATTATTTAATATTAATCTCACAGTGTGAAAAAAAAATGAGCGTAGGATTGTTCCGGGGTTTCAAATGGTCCAGCCACTTTAAAATCTTCCTCTAAGCAAAGCCTGCCATCAAGGCAGAGGTGCCAGCTTTCCCCAAGGAGAGATGGCATTTTCCCAATGGAAACCTAATCAGCAGATCTCCTGGGGTAAGCTTTACCTTTACAGCTTGGCTGCTGGGACAGGAGAAAATTCACACAGGGTTTGGGTAAATTTCAGAGAAGATTAATGATAAACATGCCAAACAAACACAGAAGAAAAAGAGTAAAACAATCAAACCCATGAAAATGAAATATAAGACTTATGATATGTCTATGAGATCTAGATCTCTATATATCTTATCTCTGTCTCTCTCTATATATTCCTTATTCTACCCATTATCCATTCTACCTGCTATCCATCCAACCATCTATCTATCCATCCTCTTTCTATACAGGAGATCACTATCTTTTATATTGTACATTAAAGGAAGTCACATGGACTTTAATTCAGAGAAATGTGGGTACAAACTCTAGCATTGCTACATTCTAGTTATTTCATGCTCACACTCATTGGGTTTCAAAGCCTTTTCCATGAAATGGAAATAATAATAACCCCATCTCACAGGTTGCTGTGCAGACTCAATTGAGTAATTACATAACAGGACTGGCACATCAAAAACTCAAGACTTGCAAATATTTCTTCACCAAGATGTCTTTACTTTCCCCAGTTATGCATTCTTTTAGGTCTTCTGCCTTAGTATTTCTGCTTTAAAGAAAGAGTAACTAGGGGCACCTGGGTGGCTTGGTCGGTTAGCTTCCGGCTCTTGGTTTCAGCTCAGGTCAGGATCTCAGGGTCCTGAGATCCAGCCTTGTGTCCAGCCCCCACACTGGGCTCCATGCCCAGCACAGAATCTGCTTGTCCCTTTCCTTCCGCTTCTCCCCCAAGTCTCTCTCTTTCTCTCCCAAATAAATAAAATCCTAAAAAAAAATTAAGAATAACTAAAGGTCCAACCCATCTAAGCTATTATTCTGATGAACATCAGATAATATAGTTAATTCACAGTCATCTATGTTAATGCTAGGGACAATGTTTTGTTTTTTGTTTTCCTGGACAAAACTAGTGGGAAGTAAAAACTTTCCTTGTTATTTGTTTTCTGGTTTCATACTCATTTTCCTGGCTCTGTAGATCCTAGGCTATGATCGGCTCTAGATATCTGCTAGCAAGTTCCAATTCAGGACCATATTCTGGACAGTATGACAGAAGGCACGATAACCCTTGAGGACAATTAGCAACATGAAAAAATCTTTTTGAGGTAAGAGATTAATGTACATTTGAATTTTTCATTGCTTATTTTTTGACTTATTCCCTTTTCTACTCTATCTTCTGTTATTTTTCTTTGAGACATTATATGTATAAAATTATGAATAGATTTAGTTGTTCAGAACATTAAAGATGAATCTAGATTGCACTGGGATTATTACTGGGAAATTATTCATTATGCATAACTGAAAGGTAACATGGATCTTCACAGCTAAAAACATTACACTTCTTAGTGTAAACTGAAATTATGAAAGGCTCAGTTGTCTTCCTTTTGAACATCTAAAGTATTCTGGTAGTGGGCATTTTTAGTTTATGTTAAAAATTGTCTTAGTTAAGGAGTGTTTGTAATATGTATTTTATTCTCTTTCTTTTACTGTCAGATTCTCAATGTAATTAACTAACACTAGTTTTTGCATTGCAATGTGAACCAGTATTTGTATTGTTATTTTTTAGTAGTGTCATGACGGTAATGAGACAGTTTCTATTAAGTAATACAAAATATAATACAAAAATACAAAAATACAAAAAGTAATACAAAAATATCTCATGACATGGTTCTAAAGTCATATCATGTCTAAATAAAACAGGAACTAATATGGTAAGTAAACTGCCTATAAATCAGTTTGCAGGAAAACATTAAAAGTGAGTTATTTAAAACAAATTCATCTAATAAAAAGTATTGTTGACTATAGGCTGATATAAAATAAGGGATTCAGATACAACCCAGGTAACAGAAATATAGGTGGTAACAGATCATCACTAGATAAACACCTAAAAGTATAAGTGAAGTGTGTCTTGAAAACTTATTCTGGGCAATGGAGATGGGGTCAGTATTCTGCAAATAGTATCAAAGGGGTCCTTGATAGATAAAGTGAATTCTAGAAAGAAACATTGTTTTTTTGGTATTGGGGAAGTAATTTGGTAGAAATACATATAGGAGGTAAATAGGTATGAGACAAACTGGGACA